TTATAACAAATGAACCATCAAACAACCGAGACTATTTTCTAACCATCAATAAAAAAAATCACAACGCCTTATCGATTTTATTTCTATTTATACCACAGCACTATTGAATCCTGGATTCTGATTGGTCAGAAGTTTATTGATTGATTAATTTTCTATAACAGCAGCTCTGACAGTAGCGCAGCTGCAAATCACAGGTTTATATTAATGCGCTTTTCTCGTTTCTATAGTAACAGCTCATTCGCAGGGACTTGTACGGCAGACGCTGCACATAAATGGATTAAAAAAAACATGTAATTGTTGATATGGTGACGTTTCTTGAAGTAAGGAGATGTTTATTTAACATGTATGGAAGGAGTCTCCAGTGTCAGAGGTGGAGGTAGAGGCGAAGTTGGAACCAAGCTGTTAGAACATAACTTGTTTCACAGACGTTTCACAACATTAAAAGTAACTATTAATGGATAAAATGTATGACGTGTCATTCATTAATAAACATAAAAATATGTAATTGTTGGTACACTGCTGTGGTATAAGAGAAATAAAACACTTTGGGACATGCAGTTATAGTAACTCTGCTTCACCACACCATCCTGGCGTTGATTATTTTCCTACAACAGCATGACTCAAAGTGTTTTACTCCTAACATGGAGTTAGTCGGCGTTATAGAAGTGCCCGTGATCTTATCAGAACGTATATTGTGAATTACGTCTTACATCTGCGTACTACAATGTAGCCAAGTGAACTTAAATGACTTTGGCTATCTTCTTATTGTGAAGAAATGTGTTTTTGAGCTGCGCCTCCCGAGAATGAGAGGAATTTTCTAGGTAGCAGACAAAACATCAGCGCTGTGCCTGTTGAGTGGGCCGAGGGCGAGTCCGGACAGGGCACTGTTACTCAGCAGAAAGAACAGGAAGTTCATCAGAACAGACAGGAAGGAGTGCTTGCAGCTTGATACAGCTGCACAGAGCTGTGCACTGCATCTTCCCATCAGTCGAGTCTCCACTGAACTCATTTATCAGCCTTCTCTGGGAACCAGGAAGAGGCTCCTCATCTCAAGGCTAGTTAAACTCCAGAAACATGGAGAAAACATCCTGATCCTAACTCTCCTCCTTCTTCCCACATCAGGAGGAAGTGTGGACAGGCAGATGTCCCATCATCTAAACTGGGAGAATGTAAAGGAAACAGAATTACAGAGGAAACACACTCTGACTTCTTAACCTGTGTGTTAGGACCCCAGACATCTGAGAGATCCACAGGCCTTCCTGTAGATTTGCACACGTTCTCCTGAAACACTCATCCATGTGAGGACACAACACGAGCCATTCCCTCTCTCTCTTTCTCTTTCTCTCTCCCTCTTGCTCAGCCTCTCGAGACATTACAGTTAAACACTTCACACCCACGGTTTGTTGACTGAGTCATGAGTTTTGTTTGCTGTAAGAATACGCCCAGAAACTAAAGCCAAAATCTGCATCACTTTGAACTGCTAATCATCTCTAACAAAGAACAACATTTTCCATCCCTCAGAACCTTCATGAATGCACTTTATGCTCTTCCTCTTAAACCTCTTCTCCTAACACTTTTCTTCTACCTGCTAGTCTTTCTACTACTGCTATCCTTATTCAAGACTGTTCATTAAACATCAGAGAATAAATTGTAAGCATTAATCATTCACTCCCGCACCATTTCCTACTAGTTTTTTTTAATACAGCAACATTGATTGTTAGAAAATTAAATTCATTATTTATTATATTGAATTAATAAATTGAATACATTTTTAAGCATTGAAAATTCACAACAGCACCATTTCCCGTTAGTCTAATAATTTGTTTTCACTTTTTATTTTATTTTTTACACTGACCTTGAGTGTTAGAAATGGTGCTATATGAAGAGAACACATTATTATTGTTGTTAATATTGCAATTATATTGAACTAATAAATAAAGTAAATAAATAAGAAAATTGAATATATTTTAAGGAAAGAAAATTCATACCTGTACCATTTCTTGTTAGACTTTTTCCTTTTTTATATAGTTATCTTGAGTGACACTACATAAATGGAATTTCTACTACTTCTTATTATTAACATTTTCCAATACTGTTGACTGAATGTTAGCTGCTAAATAAATTGCATATTAAATTAAAAAAATTAAGAAGTCACACCTGTTCCATTTTCCCCAAGAATTTAAAAACGGACACCGAAGTACCAGCGCTGCTCTCCTATCAAACTTCATACCTCCATCACGTTCAGCAGCATGTCCCACATGTGCGCTGGTCATCCGAGACATCACACATGCTCTATGCTCTCCGAACATACTCTCCAAACGCACTCTCCAGCTTCCACACACACACACACACTAAAGTCCGGGAACTGGGATTACATCACCAGTGAGAGTGTGTTTTTAGAGAGCACATGCTCTGCTCTTCCCACCCCCTTATTCTCTCTCTCTCTCTCTCTCTCACACACACAGTATAATCAAATCAGACATATAGATATTTACACATAACTATTTAACAATGTTTGCATTTTTGGAACTTGCTGAGATTTAACAGATGATCCTCAAAGATGCATAGTGATCATAATCCCGCTTCTGATTACATAACATCATGGAGTGTGTCATCTTTTCTCTGTCTGAAGATGGAAAATCTGTGCTGCAGCCAAAAACAACACAGAGCAGTCTGGCTAGCTCAGTTCTGCTGGGAAAATAGCACATTCTCACAAACAAAGCAGGATGCAATTACAGGGGTCGTATTTTAGACTACTAACTCGTTAACTTCTCTTTGAAAAATATCATACATCAAATGAATCTTGGGGGGGGGGGTCACACATGGGAAATGAATCCAATCCGATATGCAAGTGATTCAATCCAATACACTACTGAATCAACAAACTAGTCAAACAATCCGACACAGCAGTGAATCAATATACGATAACACGATAATCACAAAGCAGTGATTCAAATCACGTGAAATTAAATGAACCATATGAAACATCATATGGCAAACATCAATCATGGGAAAAAACACACAAAAAATGTATGTGAGAAAAATTAATCACTGTAAACAAATAAATAATCACATGAAAATAAATGAATAATAATTCATATTTCAAAAAATTTAGAAAATTCCATAATTCATTTACAATCTAACTGCAGAAAATATGACTTTAACATTAGAATGCAAGTTGAACGAGTGATTAAACACTTGAGTATGCATAGTTGTCAAGTTATTTAGACTGCATTTCATTTTCATTTATTATTGAACTTTTTGTCGATATATTCACCGTTTTATATATATATATATATATATAATTTTTTTGGCCACAGCAGTATAAACACAAATGGCAAATTACCCATTAAATTTTCTCGGTAATGCAAAACTTTCTGATTCCGTAAGCAAGACAATGCTCAGGATGACACGTACACAAAGCACATTCTCCAGACGACTACAGTGCACCCGAGACCTTTTCTGAAAAGCAGAGAGGTGAAAGCAGTGTCCTGGCGAGATGAGCTTCATGCCAGACGAGTGAAGCAGATGAAAGAGATTTTCTCTCTGACAGCAGCAGCTGCTTCGCTCCCCCTCAGGTGATGGAGCTGATAAACACAGATTAGCAGCGATGACCTCTCTCTGGATCTGTGTTCATATGCACAACAACAACGCTGGAAATAAGCAAGGAATAAAGCACTGTGGTTGTGCTGTTTTAGGAAAATAATCAATGACAGGGTGGTGTGATGAAGCGGAGTTACTGTCGGAACCGCAAAGTTGTTAAATATTTTTCTTATAACACATTTTAAGAGCCTGTTTAAAAGCTAAAATCTATTTGACACACCAGCAATTCAACTCGATCCAAGGGTGATTCAAGCCCACACACGAGTGAATCAATCCGAAGCACTAGTGACTGAATCCTATCCACAAGTGAATCAATCCCATCCACTACTGAATCAATCTGATACAAGAGCGATTCAATACACAAGTGACTCAATCTGATACGCCAGTGAATCAGTCTGATAGAAGTGTGATTCAATCCAATACACATGTGATTCAATCTGATACACTAGTGAATCAATACAATACATTAACAATTCAATCTGGTAAAAAAGTGATTCAATCCAAGACACTTGTGAATCAATCTGATATGACTAGAGATTTCACCCAACTTCTGCTGAAAAAAATATTAATATCGATGCCAGTGAAGAAAATTACAAAGACGTGACTGAAGTGGTGCAAATAAATTATTTATTTGTTCCACAAACGTATGAGAGTGTATAACAGGAGACTCCTGCTGGTTTATCTGATTTATGACGCGTATTTTCTCAGACACTGTACAGACAGACACTGAGATTCACTTAGAGCGAGCAGAGTATCAACCCTGGTCCTGGACATACCGGGAGATACGCAGGACGATATGAAAAATGCGTTATATCACGATACTTGTAGACATTTCTATGATCAACGATATGCATCACGTTATATAGGATTGCTCAC